TTGCAACAAAAATCCACAAAACGAAATTTTTTGATTTGGCATATTATAGTTAATAAAGTTTTACATGAGCCACGCAAACATGTTGGTGAAAGATTTACCAAATCAACGCTGCTCAGTGTGCAATCAGTGAATCTTTCTTCCAGAGCAATGGCGACAACTATCCCATGCAGTAGTGAAAAGTCGACAAATAATGAAAATCAATGCAGCGGTATAAGGTTTTATAAGAGAAACTCTCTTAAAGAAGCACTGGCCTAGGTCACAAGTAGGGACTGTGAATTTCAGCCTTCGAATACATCAATTTGAAAGAAAATTACCTACTTCTGGAGAAATTTACAAAATAAACAAATAATTCAGAAATGTAAAGCAATTGTTTCAGGGAGTTAATGAAAGGGGGTCTAATTTACCATCGACAAGAACATTACTCAGATTTTTATTCCTTTTGTAACGTTTAGTCAGCGGTGTGCGATATCATTGCATATAATATTAATATTTGAAATGTTCCAAAAGGATAATATTTCCGATCACGATAATGGTTACAACTTGGTAAATATAATCTGAGGCTTATACAACATCCCTAAAACGTATACTCTAAAATCGAAAAAAATGGTTTTGAACTGGGATCATTCGTCCAAACACATTTTGTTTAAAATTGCTGACATTTCAAGTCAGACCAAATCTGTATTTTACATTCCTCTTTAGAATTATGCTTGCTTTATAGTTAATTGTCACAAAACAACATCACTAAAACTATAGAAGCTTGTAAAGCATGACGAAGTTAAATGAATAATGAAATGGGATCTTGTGCTTTTCTTCACTTTTGCTTCTGATTTGGCATAGGGCCTACCTAGACAGGCCATGTAGTGTGCAATAAGGGAAATTTGCCAGGGCAGTGGAACGAGTATGCTCTCTTTCGGACTTCCAACGAAATAAATAAAACATTTCTTTCATTTTCGAATTATTTACTGTAAGATATGAATCATCAGATATAAGACGAGTACGTGGAATAGAGGCAGTGTAAACTGGAATTGACTAGAATGATGATATTTTGGTTCAGTTTATTGTGTCGTGTTATCTTTGTTTATAATAGCCAACTTGAAACAAACTTTCAGAATTCATATATTTCTTATTATATCATTTTTATTTCAGTATGCTTGTGCCATATAATGTTATCGTATTTATAAATCGCATATCCGTTATAGCTTCATTTCCTTTTATTTTTCATATACAGACAGATGGAATTTATTTACTTACTTCTGCAGTGTCAGCATAAGTATCTCAGACTGAAAGCATTATTGCACTAAACGATTACAATCTTCTGCCAAACCCAATTCAAACAAATCTGTTATTACAGCTAACGACTGAAAAGATTTAATTTGTTAACTTATGTATGGATTATATAAACGTAATGTAAATAATACATAAATTAAAATTATTCATATGAAAAGGGTGTCAGGTTGGCATATAATTATTCAATCTAACAGCGGAATCCGGTCCCCTTCATTATGGGACATAAAATACACCTACAGATTTTCCCCCCATTCAAAAATGTAAGCAATACTTAAAAAGTAGTTGACTTCACAATTAATGAAATTCCCTTCACTTTTAAAACGCAATTAAAACTGTGTAGACAAATTGTTGGCAATAAGTGTTAAGATAAGATTTGGATATGTTTTAACCTTCAGTTCAGAGAGGAAGACAGGAAGCCGAGATAAAATTTAACTAAAAACATCAACATCTAATTTTAGAGCCAAACATTTCAAAATAGTAACAATTTAGACGTTAGCAGTATAAAGCATTAGTCACTGGCACCTTGTAATAAATACGAGGTAAACAGACCAATTATTATGACCATGAAAGAAACACAAACAGATTTCCATTGATATCCGTTATATCCTAAAAAGTCATATAAAACAGAAAATTAATGGTGGTTAGAGAAATGTCAAGATTGTGTTTGTTTACAACTTTACAAATCTCCAAAATACTTTCTCGAGGTAAAACTTCGATTTTGCTATGAAAAGATGACTCTCTTTCTGTGGTTCCAGTTTACGTGCAACAAGAACCACGAATATGGAAAAAAAATGATTAAGAAGCGAACTTCATGACTCTTCAGATCTTTTTAGTAGTTTTGTATACTTATTTTCTGAAAATTAAAACATTGAATATAAAGTTAAAGTAAATTTTCCTCTCTATGTAATTTGAACAAAAGAAGTGCTGAGTTAAGACTAAAACGATAAGGAACCTTAGGTAGCTAATTGATAATTATTTATGATTATCTACCATGTGTGTTTATATATAATTATACTGACCACTTTAATCTGGGTGGTATCCAGTTGATAATAGAAGGGTCACTCTAATCTGTATCAATATTACATCATCATCTCTGGTCATAATATTATCTAAATCTATATCTTATCATTAATTCTAATGATAATCAGAAAAATAACTTACATTAATTTGAAACCATGTTTAAAAGTTTGATGAGAAAGATAAATATAATTTTCAATGACGACAGATTTGGGTCAATTAAATTAACTTAATTCCAAAAAGGATTCCTTTGAATTCAATTTTTGCAACCCCAGAATTAAAAATGGTGGATATTATAATATACAAGTACAGGATATACTGTATGAGTGTTTCTGTCTGTGAAATGCTTGTCCTACGTCTTTCAGTAGCTGGATACTTTTCTAATTCATATACTTATATATACTTCCAATAACTGTCTGGTACTTTGAATAACTGTCTGGTACATTCAATAACTGGTACTTTCAATAACTGTCTGGTACATTTAATATCTGGTACTTTCAATAACTGCCTGGTACTTTCAATAACTGGCACTTTCAATAACTGGCGCTTTCAATAACTGTCTGGTACATTTAATAACTGGTACTTTCAATAACTGCCTGGTACATTTAACAAAAAATAACTCTCCGGTACCTTCAATAACTATTGGCTGGAACTAGACTGGCTATGTATCAGATATGTATAACTGTCTATGTATCAGATATGTATAACTGACTGTACTTTCATAGACTGGCTATGTATCAGATATGTTAAATCGGTTCATACTTTCATAGATTGGCTATGTATCAGATATGTATAACTGTCTATGTATCAGATGTGTATAACTGGTTCGAACTTTCATGTACCATGTAGAAATGATCTATCAAAGCAATTATTGCTTATTTCATGGGATAGTTATGCTTATGTTATTACAGCAGGTTGTTTCTGATACCACACCAGTTCTGGCCACAGACATTTGTAATAGTGTAGTTCTGATCACTAAATTGACACGATAGTCTCTCCTGTTTCGCCTATATGTCGTTTATCGGATCATTAGTACTTTTTAAGTTTATTTATGCAATTTGATCAAATACGTCATTCACAACTGCACTGATTCCGCCGTTTGTTATATGTATATATTCTGCGTGAAAATATATCATCATGTAAATTAAGAAAACCTTGGATGGGTTGGGAATACATGAAATGGAAAGAAACTCACAATGTATTCATTCATAAATCTATGTGATATGTACCAACATCTTCCCACAGAATTTCTGACCTTACAAAATAACTAAACTATGACTGTAAACATACAAGTAGCATATTTCCTGTCCCATTTGGGGGAATTTAATATATTAATTGTATATCATAAAATCAATTTAATTGCTCAATAAAGTCGTTAGCAAGTGTAAAACATAGTATCGAGGATAATAAACCATATAAAAGTAAGTGTTTTGAAAAAGTCATAAGTGTGTAGTAAAAAAGACAACTAAGGGTCAAAATTCATGACAAAACCTAAGCAATGATATTGAGTCACCATTACTGTAGATTCTATCTCAAACACTCTGATTCGTATACACAATCTTCATAAGTACATCTAGTTATGAAAATGTGGGTTAAATTTCCAAGGCACATATAGGCATATGAGCAAAGTAAACGACTTTGCCTAACCGGAGTGTGGAAGGTCCTATCATTCAGTGTTTAGAATAATTTCAAAATCGAAGGCATATGTAGATAAATATATAAAAGACTCTTCAACTGAAAGAATTTTTATATGTTTTTTTTATGATTTTATTCATAATTCAATTACAATGGCTTTTTGTATCTTACGGAAATAGTTTAAGAGAAATGTCACGAATTAAAGACATTTAACATTTTAAAGAACTTACTCTAAGATATGAATGTCATTTGTAGTGATACATAAAAATAAAGGTCACAAAGACGATCCTTGCAGTATCCCATTGGCTCATTTTTTTATAGTTTACGATTTAATTGCGGAAGATGTAAATTTGTGTTATATTCTGTTAGGCAAACATGCATTTTGCTCTTTAAACATTTCTGAAGTAAAAACTGTTTTAGGTTGAAGATAAAATTGAAACGAAAGTTGCATTAGACTAAATGGTGATATGAAACACAGATGTTTCGTAATATTAAAACGTAAATAAATGTTAGTGGTACCACCCCTACCCCAGGAGAGACACGAGTATACAATTATAATTAAATACACATTAATGACATCTTATCAATTGATAATTTAATCTTGTAAATATCTAGGTATCGTTATGATAGAGGTACATAACGTTGTCATAGAAACCGATCTGTTGTCGTAACATCTAAACAATCAAGATGGTGTCTTCAATCATGGCGGCTCAGCTTACCTCAGCATGGGATCTCCCCTCCACGGTAACCCCGGAATAGCCCATTCCTGCAAATAGGTACAATCGCCGCCAAGATTCTAAAACAATTCATAAAACATACTAAATTGTCATTGCAAAAACACAAAAAAGTTTTTTCATTACATTATGATTGATCTCACAAATGTTTTCAAACATATCATTCGGTCCCAAATTAATTAATGTTTGACTGGCACCATCCTATCACCCCTATTTTCACAATGGACCAGTTTGTCAATGGTAAGTATCTGTCTTGCCAAACAAGGCGGTAATCGTATCTGGGGGAGGGTACCACGCGAACTCGCCGTACATTATAATTACCCCTATGTTCTCTGATAGGACAGTACCAGCATTCCACCACTTTTGGCACTCTCAGTGAATTGGCAGGAAAGTCTTGACTGATACATCGTTTTAGATCTCTCCAGTCTTCTCGTAGTACATCTGAAGCAAGCTAGTCGTGAGATTATCCTCTCGTCTGCAGCATTCACATAAACGACAACTTCCTGCATTTTAAGACTCCTTTGTTTTTTCTTCGTTTACTTCGTACACACACAAACCGCCGCCATGGACGCCATCAAAAAGAAGATGTTAGCCATGAAAATGGAAAAAGAAAATGCCTTGGATAGAGCTGAACAATTAGAACAGAAACTCCGAGACACAGAAGAACAGAAATCAAAGGTAAGTTATTTATTTTAACCCTTCACAAACTACCAAGGTTATCTTAAGTTGGATATAGGTCGTAATCTATGCTTTAATGCTGTCGTTCAGATCATATATTGGCCCTTGAAGAATAGTGATAGCCCCTTTCGATTGCATCTAGGGGCATCACGAAATCATCGTGAATATTGTAGGGTAATGATTAGGAATACTTACTGTAATTTAATCAGTAAGATATAAGTATAAGAAATTTCCCATTCTTGCAAGATTGAAAGTGACCCCGATGTCATTTTGTTAGGTTAGAGGTTAGAACATCACGTATCAAAATATTGGTTCTCTTGTCGGTTTTGGTTCAAATACTATTACCAGATTGCTTGAAATCTTATTTCAAGTTTGTAGATTCATAAAAGCTATTAAGATAAATCCAGTTTTTACCAGAATTCGGTGAAAATACCGGGATGGGATCAGAAATGAAGAGGTGGCGGCCATCTTGAAATATGATACCGAAGTCTGTTCATTTCGCTGATTCCGCCTTTTGGTTTCTATTTTGGGCAACTAGGTGATCTCATAGCGAGTACTTATCGCTTTATTTGGCACAGATTACCTTCACATCTCTGTCTTAAGAATTTCTATTATTTTATGCCTAATTACCACAAAACCACTTAGCATACTTAACACATTAATAAATAATTAAATTTCAAATTTGTTTTTTGAATTACGATAACACCTGTTGACCACCTTGACTTTAATTATTACGTCATATCGATAAAATTACTACAGCTCTTTCGACACTATGAAAGATTAATTTACTCGTTATAGTAAAATGCTTACACAACGAACTCTTTGGAAACTTTAACTACTTTTGAAAACTGGAATTGGAAGAATTCCTTATTATCCTGACAAACCCTCAAGTCCCCATTCCATCTAATCTCATTCTCATCATTTAACTCTGTATGTTCTTTCTTACAGATTGAGGAAGATTTAAACACACTCCAAAAGAAATACGCCAATTTAGAAAACGATTTCGATACCGCAAACGAGTCCCTAGCAGAAGCCAACACAAAATTAGAAGTATCTGAAAAGAAAGCCAACGAGGTAAGAATTACAGGATATCAAATTTCACCACTGATTGCGTTTAGTCATGCATTGGTGGTGCAGAAAGGTAAGGGTAGTCGTTACCCATAATGCAATGCTTCTAACCAGGTAAGAGTGTTGCCATGGTGCAATGCTTTGAACACTTTCATCAGCTTGTATCGTATTACAATTTCACCAATCTAACTAATTTACATCAAAGAATTGGTGTTTACATCTAAAGATATTATATTACAATGTCTAGCACATGGCTAGCCATCTTACATGTTTACATACATCCAAATAACATACAGCAAATCATAAGGTTAACATTGTATGGAGAGTTATAAGACTAGGTTACGTTTGCCCCAAATTTAGGTTACGTTTTATTACGATAAGATTACGTTTTATATCTATAATTATCCTAAACAGTACAATAAATAAGAGAATTATATAACAATATATTGTCATAAAATTATGATATTATATATCCTATATCCCGTAGTTGATATCAGGCACTAGGCCTATAGATTTCATGTTTGCATCGTGATCACTTTTCTGTAAAAATGTCGATGTATGTGCCCTTCTGTCAATTCAACATTATGATGGTGAGATAACATTGGAAACAAAGCTTCTGATGGGCTCAGATATTATCTAATGGAGAACATAACAAATAATGGTGGAACATAACTTTTGAGATAAGAAATCCCCACCCACTGGTAATGGTGAGTTGACAGATTCCTTCGAGTGATGTTCCTGGTGTGATGTGATCAAAACTTTTCTGTATTCCATCCACATTCTCAAAATTGGTTTTATTTTTCTTTCCCGGTCAACTTGCAGGACATGATTGATCTAGTGAATGAATTCTCCTAATTTTCTATCCTTGTGTGGTCGCTCTATACGGATGTATACAGTCATTTAGTATCCAATTACCTGTATATACGTTGATGTTCTAACCTCTATATAAAGACCAGCTTGTAGCCCTGAAATTTTCAACTTTTACCCTTGAAGTTATTCTTTATTCAGTGTGATCTGTTAATTATCTTTTATTAATATTTTATGCTTCTTTTATTAACGAGATTATCCACTACCCAAAGTGTGTTTTTCACTATTTTCACGTTCAGTGTGTATTTTTGTACGGATATATCAATTCTTATGGCAGCTGAATAAGGCGGGACTTATTTACTGTTATATTGGACTAGCTCCGCCCATTACGTTTATAAATAGAATTATATCGGGATAGCCCTGCCGTGAACCTCCTTTTCAACGAACGCCTGAATCACTTCGCCGTCTGTGACGTCATCAACTCCATATATGGAATGCAACGCGAGGAATGTTTGCAAAGCTGTTTAGCTGGGGATTGTTATGGAAAGCATTGGCTTTGTCTAGTGGTGTACATACTCCCTCCGCAAAACTAGTTATTTTTAGAAATTTTATAGTTAATCCAACTTTGACGGTCTTTTGCTTTGACCGATTCACGTGTAAATAAAAACAAACTGAGTTTGTGTACCTATTTGACTTTAGGATATTGAAGATGACTTTGGAAATTGTGTAATTGGAAGTGAGGAGATGCAAGGTGAAAGCTTATTAACTGTGCCGGAACCTGAATATAGTGACAATGTGGAACTTTCACAAGATTCGCAACTTTCTGCGCATGACTTATCGCAGGGTTCTGTAGACTCAGTGCCGCCTGCCGACAGTGACGGAATAAAAACAAAAAGAAAAGGCAGCAAAAAAGTTAAAAAGAAAAAATCTAAATCCTCAAAAAATAAAGATGGCGAAAGCAGTGACAAAAGTGAATCTAAAAAATCGCGCAGTAGCAGACGCCCCGAGCCTGAAGGGGCGCCTCCCTCGGTCGCTAATATGGACGAATATGATAAAGTTATCTATAGTGATGAACCAATGTTTTCCGACGTTGACATGTCAGTTGACGAGGGCATCTCAATGCCTAGGGAGAGGACCCGGTCCTCCCGTGCCATGAGACAAAGCAAAAATGGTGGCATAAGTATACCAATGTTTCCTCAGTTAGGAATCAATTCAAATACGATGATAAAATTCGCCATTATTGGAACTGAGTTACAGAATGTTGTTCGCTCATCTTTAAAAAGGGTATGAAGTGTGTGTTTATTTAATCGTTCCCTGCCAAATGTTATTTATACCTTGTTCAAGCTTTTAGATAACAGCTGTGTGATGTCCCACCCTGTATTGTATTAGGTCCAATATTATTTTAGATTCATGCCATTGGTATGTTAATATACTAGCAATTGGTATTTCATATGCCGAAAGTTATTATGTTGAAATATCCTAGAACAGATGTCCAAACTTTTTTCAAAACACTTTCTAAAGTTTGTCCCTCATTGATTCCTGAACCTCAGTCAGTGTTTACTATTCTGCATGTATTTATAATCTCGACTGGTTAAAACTTTGAGCGAAAATTGTCCACATTCCTTTTTATGCCACTTGTAATATTTAAATCATCCTGACCTTGATCCATTTAATGACATTTCCCAATGTTTCTATGCACATCAACATTTGATTGAGTCTCGTATCTGTCACATTACATGTCTCATGTCTAGTTTATTTTAGATAAGTTTTAAATATGGACATCGGTTTGTATGTATACTGGTATAGATTAATATTGTAACCTATGACATTTGAAAACTAGTTGGGCGAGTATTAAATGACAACTATTCGAGAATACAATATGAATGTTAGGATATGATAAACCAATGAACCGCTTCAGGTCATGACTTGTCGCATTATGTAAATTTGGTATTTGGGAACAATATCTATATATGTACTTGTAATCAAGGGCAATAATTATTGCGTAACAGGTCTTTATCTCACAAGGAATTGAATAATATTGTGTAATTAGGAGTATCTCAAAACTTGCCAATTGCTGAATGCTCATAAAACTTTTTATGTTCTTGCTCTGAATAATGCATATTCGCATTTTCGTTCCAAAAGTATTTTTACAGACACTAGCATTTTCTTGGCAAATGTTGCATAGACTGACTTCCTTGAAGTGTTTAGACTGATTTTGGCAAACTTTTAACGGTAAATTACTTGCAGGTGACTCATAAACTTCATCAAGAAACGAGAATAATTCCGTACGCATCTGTGTTTTAAATATGATACCTGAACGATATACCACGTCTTGGCTGGATATCCCCTTTATATATATATATAAACACCACTACTGTATTACTTATATACTAATATATATTATATACCTTATTTATAGCGCGTAGGTAAGAAGGTGGTATCTTAACTTTCAAGAACTCTATTAAGAATATGTTATTGGCACCTTTCCAGACGTCTGTTTATTCTATTATCATGTACCGTTAAATTCTTGCTTATCCAGCAAATCAATTCCTGTATGGTTTCTCACGTGTAAAAGTCTTGATATCGGTGTCTAAATTATCTGAAAGTTCTTCAAGGTTCTGTGAAAGAAGATATTTAGCTGTATATTATAATGATAAGATTGTAGAGAAGGTCAAATTGAGGTATACCCTAGTATCAAGTTACTCCCTGTCTAATCCAAAAGTTAATGATAAACACTGGGGTATTTCACCAAAGGTATTAATTGATATTCACAAATCAGATGGGCAATAGATTTAATTACTCAAGGTAAGCTTATTAAGACACGTAAGGGTTAAGAGGCATTTTGTTGATTATTACAAGATTCTAATCTATTCAAAAAACCCAAATGGCTGGGTGGGGCGATGTAGTTTAATAAATTATTGATAGGAGAGCATTCCATGCCACATTGCCTTGAATAAGGACACAAACTTTGTAAGTCTGAGTATAAGCCTTTGAGCCACGGGGAAAGGTGATACTTTCCTCCGTAAAAAAGCAGTCCACCAAGACCAAGGTCCAGGTTCATCAGCTGGAATTGCTCTGAATGAAATGATGAAGCCAGAATTTGAAATTTTACCAAGTGTATGTAAGTAGATTTTACTTATTTACATATTTTCCAAGAAATTTTGAGTAAATTGGAATATCTTACACATTTTCCAAATTTCGGTATTTCTGTTTTTAAACTCATTTTGGTACCAAGTTTTTGTTAGGAAACCGATCATCTGCGGGCAATATCGTCTGCATAAAATTCTGTATATGGGAGGTAACTCAAAGTTGTCTTATGTTAGCTTCAGACTACTAACAATTTATTCCTTTTTCACTGGTCTATTCAGTTATATTCTGAATATTTAAAGATTTTACCAATTTTAGAATATCATTTGGGGGTAGTTGAAATCATGAAAAGACCAATTTGATAAGGCAAGTCTTGTAAGTTATAGTATTGAGGGGAAATCCCTACCGAGCCATTAGAGTATTTCTTCCTTATAAGGTCGATATAAATAGGGAGTAACTAAATTAAATGAAACAGCCAGGTAATCGCCACCATTTGACACAATCACTGTCACGTGACACTGAGCACACCTAAGCCGGTCCGCACCACAACTTCCTGTGGACATTTTACATGAGTCAGAAGATTTAACTGGAAATTTAAATTAATTGGTCATTAGTTATAGTGATACAGCTTCGTACGCATTATATTAGACATAGTTAATCGTGTGGCATAAATTATATAAATTAATAGTGATTTCTTACTACTGGACTATTTGATAGACAACCAGAAGTTGTAGTTCGGTTAAGTTTCAGAAGGGCCGATCGTCGTGTGTTCAGATATTGTGGTATCCTGTAGGCTAATCAAAAACTGTGAAAATGTCGGTTTTAGGAAATAATAACCCTTCTGGGGTGTTGGGAAATATTAAAACTAAGATGGCAGGACTAAAAACACAAATTGATGATCTTTCCGAAGAGAATACTAGATTACGACGTGACTTAGGTGATAAAGATTCACGGATAAATGAAGTAAGAGCTCTCCTTTTTATCTACAATGTTGCACAATGTCATACGAAGATAGGAATTGTGTTGTTATCATGATCTGTAATGCCAGGGCAATCACATTTATTCTTTGGGCATATAATCAGCATTTAATGGGTAAAACATTAAGTTTTTCA